TGCTAGGTTGGCAGAAGCTGGGACAAGTAATAGGAGTTCACTCTGTTATGTGGTGCTAGGGATTCGAACTGCTGACCTTCTGATCGACAAGCTCAGCATCTTAGCCACTGAGCCACCGCATCATTTCTCCCTTACAGCTTTCTTATTCTAGAAATAATACTGGCCTTTTGATAAGGTTGACACAAGATTCCTGAAAAAAACGTTTGTAATGTATTTTGTGCTCTCTAAAGTGAAATGTAATTGCTAAATATTGGCAATGGACATGGAGACTAAAACATCATCTTTTCTTGTATCTTGGCACCCAAAACACACATCAGTTCATCCTAATATATAAGAAACTGTATCTTACAAAAAAATCAATCACTACAGTTTATCAAAGCTTTCACATATTTCTATAATTCACATCAAATTATTGTGAATTACCATATTAAATAGTTTGTTCCTCTAAAAACAAAACCATGTGTAAACTTTGTTGATCTCCTTCCCAGCTTATTATATACTTCATTTTTTTTTAAAAAAATACAGTACTTATCTGAATCCTGTAGAAGCCATTAAATTAGCAATTTTTTCCCCTACACTGACATGAATTTAGGTCCTAGTGCCCCAAATTACAAAGAGAGACCCCTTTAACATTAAGCCTTGCTTAACGCATTGTAAGCCGCCCTGAGTCTCCGGAGAAGGGTGGCATATAAATCAAATTAAAAAAAAAAAAAAAAGCCAAACAGTAAGAGGCTATTTAAAAGGCGGAAAATGGCAATTGAAAGCACGAGGCAGTCTTCTCAAGGACAAGAACAGTCCTGCAACAGAATGTAGTTACAAACAGGAAAGAAGAGGAGATATAACAAATTGCAGTGGAAAATTAATTACACAGATTAGCACAGATAAGGATGAGGCAGTATTAACCCAGGTCATGAAACTCATCTAGGGAGCATGTAGATGGGAGGAGATGATGAGATAGACAAAGGTCGGAACAGACAAAAAAGTGTTTGACACCCAGCTCCAATGTGAGAGGGGCCTCATTATGAATTCTAGATATCTCCTGAGATTAAAATGTAATCCAAAATGCTTCCAGATTTGCCTATCTCCTGAAATGTAATAATCTTTTACCTGCAGATCTTATGGAAATGAAGGACTGCAGCACTTCAGCTAGCTGGGAAGGAGCTGGTGGAGATTCCTCTGCTAGCAAATACAGAGAAGAGTAAGTCCATCTGTCTGTTTTGTGAAGCACGCTGAGATACTTACAAACATTTCTGGTGCTGTTCTCTGTATTTCCAAAGCGAGAAACATTCGGGGAGAAGAGATATTCAAAGGCTTAGCCCTAAACAGATTCCTAAGATGTTTTGTTCACAGATATTCTGCCACAATACATAATATTGTGTAACAGCTACTGAAGCCCAACCATATTTTAAGTATCTCATTAATAATAAATGTGGCAATTTTACATCTGGACTTTTAGTGAGAGGACTGTAATTCTTCCCTTTTTTCATAGATGCTCTATCTCCCTGAAGACTGAACAAAGATCCCATGACACAATCTAAGCTAATATCCCATTGTTGGCAGGGCTGGAGAAATGCATTAGAAGACTTTTCAAAGCGCTATCTCCATTAAACTTTGCACCCTCAGGGGAAAAACTAAAAGCAAATCTGGAATAAAGTAAAGAGCATAAATTTAGCAAGAATAGGATTGCTGAACACATTTAGAGAGCTACAGCCCAAGGAGATGGTTTTTTTGTCATCTTAACTAAAGATTAGCTGGCCACAATAAGACAAATGAAAAATCAGTTTTATTGTTCTGCCCCACTGCTCAAGCTATTAAATAATCTTAACAAGACTATTGCCTAAGTGCTGCTGTGACATAATTAAACAGCAGGCTGTCTAGCTATAGAGAAATCGATAGAGACATTAACATCATTTTTTTCCTTTTCTACGTTGCTTTTATTTTTGCTTTGCGCACACAATTATGTTTTCAGTAAATATTCCCTTGCAAAATTTTATGCATTTAAATGTTACCACTTTTATTGAAATAAAAAAACCCTTTAGTTTGTTATACAGTAGTCACAGATAACTGTTCCAAGCTTAACTGCATGAGAGAAGAAAGGACAGGATAGATAGATAGATGATAGATAGATAGATAGATAGATAGATAGATAGATAGATAGATAGATACTTTCATACATACATACGTACGTACGTACATACATATATACATTAATAGACACTGTAGACAGATTAATAGATACTGTAGGTTGATAGATGATAGACAGACAGACAGACAGACAAGGTAGGTAGGTAATTACCTTCTCCCATGCAGTTAAATTAGAATATATGTACAGATACCTCCCCTAAAATGTGCTACCCTGCTCAGGGTTCCTTCCAACATTACAATTTCAGATAAAGTGTACTAGGCATAAACAACACTGAAAAAAGGTCCAGTTACAGCTTCTGATTTTGGCTTCATAGGAACTAAAGCATATTAAAAGAGGTGGCTATACTAGAGAAACTTTCACCGGTATCAAAATTCTATTTGTAATCACAGGACAGAAAGAAAATCCAAATTCTTCATTCCTTCTAAGAAATTTAATAAATAAGGCCACTAAAAAGAGAGAGAAGCACAATAAGCAATTATAAAGTGAAATGTCTGAAAATGCCATTTAAATGTGTGACTCTCAAATAACACATATAGCAAAGTGAATGTGATATACAGATTTGAATCAAGCTTTAAACTGTTCCACTGAAATAGTTTCTTTTTTTTTTTTCATATAAAAAGAACTCTCTGATTTCATCAGATTCTGGACAATTCATTATTAAATGCAAAGCTAACCCCCAAGTCTCTTTCAGGAATATATACTGTAATCCCAAAAAGGATGCTACACAAAACCATGATAAGGAATCTCAAAAACAAGCAGGTTGAAAAGGTCGAGATCTTACGGCAATATTGTATGTTTTGGAAATTAGTGTTTTATGTATAGAATGATTTATATGCAGTCTAAGCCAACAAATTTGCTCCAACTCACCTTTCCACTGTTATAACCCTAAGGAATTTTAGAAGTGTCTTCAAATATGGAGCAAGAATGATGCACATAGGATTAAGGGACTGTCAAGAATATAAATCAGCCAAGAAGATGTGCAATGATGCAGTATCTGAAACTGCCTTTTGGCTTTATTTACTACTCTCATGATGGACTATAGATGTGAATATTAGTTCTATCCCTTTTTTAAAAAATCCTTTAAATCCATCATGATTCACTAACATTCTGAAGTGTTGCTTTTCCTTTACATGAATCAATGAATTCAGGTTTGCTTTAATTTTTTTTTTACTGTTGATATAAACAGGCCAGTGAGGTTGTATTGTGTTGTTCCCTCTTTTGTTTAACAGGAATTCCCTTTCAAGAAAACTGTAGAAGATAGCAAGACAGGTGTCTACGTATGATCTCATCTTCCACAGAGGATGAGAAACTTCTATCTGTAACCATGGAGCAGCTTGTGCTCCATTGCATCTTCACCATTTCTCCTTCCAGGCACTTTGATCAAAGTGCAGAAATATGAAAGATTAACAATAAATAGGGTTTTTGATAAAATAGCACTATTCTAAATTTAAAGCCAATAGGTTGTTTTATATTCCTTTCTAATGATCCTACAGTGTAGAATTGATTACACTGCCCTGAACAATGTTAATTACAAAATGTTGTGCTTAACAGAAGTCTCCCAGTTTTAACATCTTAAGCAAACTAAATGTACATATTGATAGGGCAGCTACAAGAGCCCACGAAATCTACTGAAAAGAACAACCTGACACATCAAAACAATACTTGTAAATCTAGGAATTCCCTTATCAAGTTGACTATTAAAGCTGCAGAAAAAAAGAACATGTACAAGGTATTAGAAATTTCAGTATACAGCATCCCTGCTTAAGGCACTTAGAACAGCAACATAAAACACAAAACCATTCAAACCCTTTAATTTTTAAAATGAGCAATACCTACTGAATTAATAGAAATGGGCTTTTTTTTCTTTTTTACATTTCTAGGGATCCCTGGAAATTGATCTGTTCCTAAGCGCTTACTCTCTTGTAGCAACAGCAAAGGGTCTCATTCTAGAAGGGCAGCTTATCCTAATTTAGTTTTCCAAACAAGGCAAGTTTGGTGCTGCTCTAGAGATGTTAAGGACCCAATTGAAATTTCTTTGCTGTGCCTCGGTCAATAAATTTTTAACAAATCATTTGTTCCCTATTTGTTCTGGGGAGTTAGTGCTGAGGGGCACGACATTACGCCCAGAATCTATGCCTGTCCTTTGGGGAATATGTGTACTTTTAATCTTTTAGTGGAAAGTGCAATCGCTCATCAATTACCATGGATTTTTAGAAATGGTTATGCCTTTACACCAAACAGCCCTACAGCCCTGTATATAAATCAGCTGTGCAGCCAACTTGCCTAAACCTCATAAAATGGCAACAAATTTACAGCTGTTGTCTTGTCTGACATGGTTGTTAATGTACATCATGATTAGCAATGCATCTCTTATGGCTTTTCTTACATTGTGTTTATTATGAATTTCTCATTCAGAATGATAATTAACATTTGAAGAACAGAAGTTCAAGTCATTAAGTGTCATTATCTATAACGAATGAAAAGATTCTCTGCATTAGTCTTAAAAAAATAAGAACCTATTTGTGGCACCTTAAAAACAAGACCAAGCAATTAAGACTGCATATATTCACACATACACTGTATAGCAAATGCAAAATAAAGATTCCTGAATGGAAGAAAATGAAAGTATTACTTAGAAACATACATTGAAACTCTCCAGATTAATAGGAAAAGCAAAATGAGCATATTGATGTTTGAGAATAATAATTTAATTCACATAAACACTAAAAACAGAAGATGTGTTAGCCTTAAATACTAGCTCTTACTTAACCCTACCAAAAAATCAGTTGTAGGGAAATAGGACATAGAAATGTGGCTTCTACAGCCCTATAAATGCTCCTTGTGACCTCCTTACCTGTCATGATCCTCTGAGCTTCATATGGCTCCATATAGCCAGTGTTTTCTCCTTTGCCCATTTTATTGACTTCACTCTTGGCATCAAATGGATCAGAATAGTCATCAGCTATTAAAACCTGAAACAGAGGAAAAAGGTAAACTCTTAGCTTTGGGTACTATTTTTAAACAGCCCCTTTCAAGTTATTTAAAACACTTCAAAGCATCACAGATTCAAACTCACAAGTTCTTTTCCGTGATGCAGCTGTCCATTCCCTTTAAATAGTTTCCGAGAAAGTTTAAGTGGTCCTACTGTACCTCCATTAGCATGTACTCCACTGGCAGACAGGAGATCAATTTCTTTGTAGAGTCATCAGTTGTGAAAAAGGGGTTTTTACTAGTGATGCTTCTAACCAGGGCACCCTCAATCTTTTGGGAGCCAGGGACCAGTTCCATGGTTTTTCCATGGACCAGGATGGTTGTGATTTCGTGCGCTGCTTGGTTTCTGTGTGTGCATGAATGGCGCTTTGCTCGCTTGTGAGACCCGGTTACTGGCAGGCCACTGACTAGTACTGGTCTGCAGCATGGGCATTGGGGTCTATACTATGTTCCCAATATGGCTAATCCTTGGCTTACAACTGTTTCCTTAATCACCATTCACATTTATGATGCCCACAAAACGAGAACTTTATGGCAAGTATAGCAACTCCAGTTATGGTAAATGATTGCACCCGATGGTCATGTGACACATGTTGGGCACTTAGCAAGTGATCACATTGTGATCATGTGACTGTGATTCATGATCAGTTTTACACAGGTTCCTCGCATTTTTTTGCCTGTTTCTGGTGAAAACAGCCCATTCAAATGAATAAATTTGCACTTACAACTGCTACCATTTGCTTAATGACTGTAACTTAAGGTCCATGGTATTTGCTTAATAACCACAGCAAAAAAAAAAAAAAAGGTCTTAAAAATCACTTCTGGTCATGTGGGTGCCTCAATTTACAACCAATTTCCGGTTCCAATTGCAGTCATAAGTGAAGGACTACCTGTACATATTAGGCAAGTCATATTTGGACACTTCCATAGAGCTATGAAACATTTTGCTCCATTTTTGGCTAAATACAACACCCCTTAAGAAATTTACTAGCTATATAGTTGTGTCATGAAAAGCTATCTATGGTTGAATAAAATTCTTTATTTTATTGTCTTTAAAATGACAAGACTCTATTGATTTAGGCCAGTGGTCTTCAAACTTGGCAGCTTTAAGACTTGTGGACTTCACCTGCCAGAATTCTCCAGCATAGCTGGCTGGAGAATTCTGGGAGTTGAAGTCCACAAGCCTTAAAGCTGCCAGGTTTGAAGACCTCCGATTTAGGCCATCGAGTTTAATGTCCTGCTCCCTTAGGGTTACAGAAAGGAAAAGAAGACACATACAACTTGAAATGAGAACAAATAGAGAAGGGGACATACAAACTGATCTACTTTCTTACAAAAGCAACAAACAAACAAACAAACAAACAAAAACTCCAAGTGAGGGGAGTGAAGAAAGAAAGAGAAAGAGAGTGGGGAGAGGGGAGTAGGGGAAGAGGAAGAGGGAGAAGGATAGAGGAAAATGATTTTACCCTTAATGGCTGTCTCTTCCTCCAGAGGTTCCCCTAATAAAAATATTTCAATAGGCTGCTATGAGAGATGAAATCACTCCAGCATCCAAGACTGGTTTTTCAATCCTTACATTTTTCCAACAAATATTTATTTTCAATGTGTGAGTGGAATTTCTCACAGATAAAAATTTCATGTTGTATTTGATAAGAATGATTCTTTTGACAGAATCAGCCAGTGAACATAGATTGAAAGCGCTGGATTGAAGTTGGAATCAGGAAATAAATTAAATAATGCAAATCTAGGCTGTTGATGGATAAGGGAAAGAAAGAAGCAGACAATATGCAAAGTTACAATACACGAAATCTACTGTTGTAAAAACAATCTATTTTTTAAAAAAAGATATTAAAAAATCCCCCAGATAATATTTGATTTTAAAGCTATGTCTGCTGGAGGGAGGAGATATTATGTCCAGTAATCCTAAAAGCACTGCAAAACTCCAGATTTAAAGCATCTTCAACAGATGATTGTCCAGCCTCTGTTTGAATACATAAAATGAAAAGAATTAGTCCACAACTAATCTGGCAATACCGATAGATTTCACTCCTCTTACTGTTATACATTTTCTTCCTAATCACCAACCAGAACATGTCTTTCTGTAAAAAAAACCATCTCTCCTTCTGGGTTAAAAAAAGAAAGATCTTGATCTTCTCCTGTGTGACATCCTTTCAGATATTTGAAAATTGTTACTATAACTGTCTGTGGTGCTCTCTTCTTGGAGATAAATATTCTTAGCTCCTTTAATCCCTCTTTTTAAGATTGACTTTTAAGATCCCAATCATTAAGGTTGCCCTTCTCTGAATCTGAAACAATTTGTCTGAATCTTACTTAAAGCACAGAATAGGAAGTAGTACTTGACCAACAACAACAAAGTGAATGTAATTATTTCCTTTGATTTAGGAATTATGCTTCTGTTGATGCAATCTAAAATGGCATTTGCCTTTTTTGAAGGAATATATTTATATTCACTTTAGTATCAACTACTATTCCACATTCTTTTTTATAAACATATTATATTCCATCTATCTCCTCAACTAAACAATGTAGGCTGGTGACCCCCAGGGGGAGGGCCTTCTCTATGGGGACACCTACCCTCTGGAATCAGTTGCCCCCAGAGATAAGGAGAATCCAAGACCTCAGTGCCTTCCGCCGTGCCCTTAAAACCCACTTTTTCCAGCAAGCCGGGCTGGCTTAAGAAGAAATTTTTAAATGTTTTAATTGGTTTGTGATTTTTAATTTTTGGGCCAAATTTATATATATTTTAATTGTTTTTTAATATTTGTATTTCATGTTCTTAATTCTGGCTGTACACCACCCTAAGTCCTCAGGGAGAAGGGCGGTATATAAATTGGAAATAAAATAAATAAATAAAATAAACTAACACATCAATACAAATTTTGAAGAGTGCAAGACAAAATTGGGATTTCTCTCCTTACTCTCCTTCAGTTTTCTAAATAACCACTGAGTGCCCTCTGAACATAATTATTTATTTGTATTCTGCATTTATTATTTTTACAAACAATCCAAGGTGGTGAACATATCCACCACATTTTCCTCCTATTTTCCTCACAACAGCAACCGTGTGAGAGTCACCCAGCTGGCTTTCTTGGCTAAGACAAGACTTGAACTCACAATTTCCTGCTTTCTAAGACTGGTGCTTTATCCACTTAATTATCATGTCATCCAGAGCAATAAACTGGCTTCTTCATAAGAACATCAAGATACATTTTATGTATTACAAGTAGTTCTCAACTTATGATCAAACTGGAACTGGAACTTCTGTTGCCTAGTGAAATGGTTATTAAATGAGACACACTCAACACTTTTGTTGCAATTGTTTTGCAATTAATACAGTCTTTAAATGAATCACTTAATCATTAAGCGAATTTGGCTTCCCCCGTTGACTTCGCTTGTCAGAAGTCACAAATGGTAATCACATGTCCCCAGAACACTTCAACTGTTAAAAATACGTAATAGGGCTCAAATTTAGATCACATTGACTATGGGGACACCACAATGATTATAGGTGCGAAAACTGGTTGTAAGTCACTCTTTTGAGCACTGCCATATCTCTGAATGGTCACTAAATGCATGGTCATAAGTTGAGAACTATCTATACAGAATTTAGAAGCGTTTGAAGTATTTTATGTGCTTGTTTGAGCTGTCTAAAGTAATTTACTAATTACTATTTAGGATCTGTTTACTTTTTTAATATGTTTATCCATTTTTAGCAGCAAAGCCATATATTCAGAAACAAACTTTACTGAATTTTAATTATTATTGCTTTTTAAATATATTTAGATGGCCTCTAAAATATCATTTAACTGTACATTAAAAATTCTAATCAAGCTAAGTATTTTATTTAAGTAATAAATTTGAGCCCTGGCATTTTTCATATTATTGCCGATCGGGTATACTTACTATTTCTATGAATTGTCAATAAATGTGTTTGCATGTTAATCTAAGATAATGATTTTTAACAGTGCTCTCTAGTGAAGCTGGCAAAATAATTGAGAGATATGACTTGCAAGTGATCTAAAATGGTTTTTAACTCTAAATTATTCTATAGTAGCAACAAAAGGACATTCCTCTTCATTTTTTTAATTGTTAAAGACCTTGATTTCAGATATGAATTTGTATATTTGAACCTTTCCAATATCAGATTAATGACATGATTTCACTTGCCTGTACTATGTACTGTGCACCGGGCTTTCCCAGGCCCTAGGCCTTACTTTACATCAGATTTGAGGTAACAGGCTGGATGTTTGCCTACATTTGTTCTAGATAATTTCCTCTGAAGACCAGTAATTACAACAAAGCTCTGCAACTATCTGCTTTATACTCATCACACAGCAAGGCAAATCGACTATCAAACAGGTCTGCTGATGTTCCACATGAACTGTCCCGTAACTTACCCAGAATCCCCTATAGTGTACAATGGCATTGAAAGAGATAAACTAGATCCCCCTAACAGACAAGGAGAGAATTCCCAAAAAAGAGAATTCCAAGAAAACACTGGCTATGGGAATCTAGCTCCGAAAGGACATTTCTTTCTTTCAGTAGCATGGCCAAGTGTCATATATGAAGGGAGAGTGCAGATTAACAGGAAACAAGACATGAGTACAGCTGAGCTAGAGAGGCCTTTGTGTGATTAAGCAAAGCAGCTCTTAACATCCTAATATTCTTCAGAGCCCTTGCCAACTCCTCCCTACTCTTACAGGATGACAATTTCCAGAGTAATTATTGTTTCTTTTCAGGGTTGGATTTTTTTTTATTTTTTTTTTGTTATTTTGGACCACTCAAGTGTAAACCAACTCTGTCCCTCATTTGACATGTAATTTAAGCTGTATTCAAGGGGTTCATTAAATGCAAATTGCTAAAGATGACAAGTGCAAAATGAGGGAGATACCCCCTTCCTTCTCTTTTTTCTTTCTCTCTCTTTCTCCCCCCCCCCCCCCCCCCCCTAAGCATTTGTAAT